CTGAAAATTTCCAGCGATTGGACTATCTCATCTGATTCTACTCCACTAAAAGGGAGACAGGATTTGAAGAACCACCGACTGATCAGTTTGTTGCTAATTATCTACAGAGTCTTCACGAAGATAATAATGAACAAATTTCAAGAAAAACGCAACACTGCACAGCATAAGGAGCAGGCAGGATTCAGAAATGGATTCAGTGCGATGGATCGTCTGCTGGTGGTATAGGAAATGATATAGACACGCAGCGAATATCAGTTTCCTCTGACTGGAGGTAGTCGATTTCGAGAAGATCTTCGAGTTAATGTGCATCCGTTTTATACTGGATTCCTTGAGGAACTAGGGAATTGAAAAATATTATATATGCCTGATGGCCGTAATTTACAAGAATGCAGCTGCTGGTGTGAAGCTTCACGAAAGCACAGTCAAGTTTAAAATCAAAGAAGGTATCCGACAGGGATATCACTAGCGTTATTTACGGAAGCCCTAGAAGATGTTATCACGACATTCCGTTAAGAAAATCAGGGATGAACATAAATAAGCATTGTTGATGCCATCTGCGGTTTGGGGATGACATTCTGATTTTTTTCATGGTTACCTGAAGAATCTAAGAGCTGAACGATTCCAGCATCAAAGTAGAATTCAAAATGAGTCTAAAGAAGACTCATGTCGTATTTAACAAATATGTGATCACGCGACATGTCGAGGTCAAGAGTTTAAGCCTGAGGAAGTACAAATCCATGTATATCTGCTACAGCTCATATCTGCAACGATGAATCGAATATGTAAAATCAACAGAAGACCAAAAATGGCATGCAGAACTTTTGAAAGACTGAAAATATGGTTATCCGGGAAACTGCCGTGAAACCGTGCTTGCACGGTAAGTTTATGGGCAGTGTGTGTGCTCCCAGACCTATGCTATCCTAGGGGCGCGAAACTTGGGCCTGAGTGTATAGGCTGTCGTTCATAAACTGCATACTACATAACTCAGCTTATTGGAAATAGGAAGATAGGATACGAAGACGAATGCATGGATAAGAATACATACAAGTCTGTGATGTCATCGCCCAAGTGAAAAAGTTAAAGTTGCAGTGGACAGGACATATTGCAAGAAGAACCGATCATCTATGGATGAAAGAGACGTTAGATTTGGTTGTAAGAGAGCGTTAACGACCCGCAAGAAGACCTCTAGTTTGCTTGCAGGAGGAGCCGAAGTGATTCGCTGAATTAAAATGGATGAATGTGATTGATAAGTTGACAGATAAGAGAAGTTTATGACAAAGGTTTGAAATGGCCTTAATCCAGCAGTGGAGCGACAAAAGCTGACGATGATGATACCGTTCAGACTACTCGAAGGACAATTGTTGTTTCTCTTCATACCCTTTTTTGCCGTTAGTTGAGACGTTTGTTAAAGTTTCTCATTAAAGGTATGTATTTTAGGTCAGACTTTTCCAATGTCATTAAATTCCTCGAGGAAGGATCACAGTGCTAGTGATAGCACCATATCCATCAGCTCTTCTTTTAGTCTGACGTTTGCCTTAATTCCTCCAATATGATCAGTTCAACAGTATAGTCTGTCAAAGGTGGCGGAGACTCGCAGCAGTCGTCAACAAATATTCAATCCGTCGATCGGTGTTGATGATATCGTTTTTCCTTTCGGGCTTGGGACTTGAAACGGCAAAGTTCTGTCTCATAAAATTATAATTTTTTGAATGACTAAAACCTGCGAGACATAGCCGTCGTCGGTTCCCTGCCTGAATGAAAATGGCGGAATGTTCCGGACCGTAGCCTGGTCTCCGTAGCACTTACCCACCTGCCCCTATGGCGCTGACTGTCGAATGTTATACCGGAAATGAGGCTAACTGCGAAAATTCGTCAACGAGAACCTGTTTCACACTTTCCGACAGATGAGTACAGAGCAGCATGATAACTATACCAGAGCGACATGACTCGGGAAGATGATAACTATACCACTCGCCAGTGGAGAGACAGAAGGCCCGAGGACATTACGGCACATCAGTAAAAATTGTACGAAAACGATGCCTACTGTGGAAGTTCGCATTAGGAAGTTGAAAAATTTATATACCCAAAAGGAAGGAGTAAGAACTAGTTAATGAGACCGCAAGGTAGCAACTCAAGATGCCCGGACTCAAAAATTCTGAACTTTTGCTGGTAGAACCTTTTCTATTTAGCTGTTGACGCTGCAATCCTCGCTCAAGCTGGTTCTGAGTGACATAGTCACTGAATGGAAGTCTCTCAGCGGAAAAGTGGTCAGCATCTAACCAAAGTCGCGACAGGCGAAAGCTTTGTCTCTGA